ACTGGAAAGCTCCATCGTGAACCACACGGCCTCCTGCTCGTGCTGTGGGGTACGTGCTGACTCATGCTGGCCCTGTGGGACAGAGCTGGCCCACGATGCTTCCCAGTCTGTAATGTTGATGGGGAACAGCCCACCCACCCTTCTCGCCCACGGAGCTGCTGGTGGGTTCAAAGGAAGCATGTTCACTTGGCAGCAAGTGCTCAGCCTCGGCGCCACAAGGATTCCTTTTTGCTAGTGTGAACCGACTGCTCTCAAGTTGATTCCAGCTCGTTGGTGACAGCATAGGATGGAGAACTGCTTCCTCGTGCTCTTAAGGTCGTACGTTTTTATGGAAGCGGCTGCCTCTCTTTTACCCCCATGGCAGGTTTGAACAGTTAACAACCCAACTCTTCAGCAGCTGCATCGCCACGGGTCTTTGGTAGTGCTCACCAACACCCAGAAAAGCTCACGCCCACTGCCATTGGCGAGCCCCACTCATAAGGACACTGGGGGGCAGGGGAGACACACTTTGGGTGTCCAAGGCTATAAACTTACATGAGAGTAGAAGGACTCATCTTTCTCCTGTGGAGCCACTGGTCTATCTGGTCTGCTAGCCTGACAGTTCACAGCCCAACTTGTCACCCCCTGTGCCACCAGGCCCCTTGTGTTAGTGATCAACCCCCAAAAAAACCCTGCCACCAAGTCCGTTCTGACTCATAGCAACCCTGTAGGACAGGATAGAAGTGCCCCTGTGGGTGTTTGAGACGGTGGCTCTTGACTGGAATAGAAAGCCTCATCCTTCTCTCAAGGAGCCATTCGTGGTTTCAAACCACTGACCTTGTGTTAGCAGTCCGATGCATAATCACGATGCCACCATGGCTCAGTTTGCACTAACATGAAAACTCCTCTTCTGAGCTTCCTGCTCTTCCCTAAGGCCTCTGTGTTTCTCATTCCAGGATGAAATACATTGAGACCGAGCTCAAGAAGAGGAAAGGGATCGTGGAACACGAGGAACAGAAAGTAAAGCAGAAGAATGCAGAGGACTGTCTTTATGAGCTTCCAGAAAGCATCCGCGTCTCCTCAGCCAAGAAAACGGAGGAGATGCTTTCCAACCAGATGCTGAGCGGCATCCCTGAGGTGGACCTGGGCATTGAGTGAGTGTGTTGGCCGGGTGTCCAGAGAAACACATCCAGGGGCATTCACATTCGTCACATATGACGAAGAAAGAGCTAGATGTCGAGAAGTAGTTACACATCAAGGAGGCGTCACAGCCCCATCCAGCTCAAGTCCGTAAGTCCGTGCTAGTCCCTAAGTGCCTCTTCAGACTCCTAGCCGCAGGCCGTGGTGCGGAGTGATGACGCAGGAAGATCACAGGCTGGTGGGTGCAGAGTCTCCTGGATCCAAAGTCAGTGGAAACATGAAAGGGCACCGGCAGCCCTCAGGGTTGGTGGCTGAGTTCCAGTAATCAGGAAGGCCAAGCCGCAAAAAGATGGGGCAAGTTTCTGGTTTCCTTGCTTATAAGGCGGCCACACCCTGAAAAGGGCATCATCAGGCTGTGGGCTGACCGACAGGTTGGACTCTACCCCCCACTTTGACAGGCATCCAGTCAACATAACCCCATAAATACCACCCTGAGATTTAGGCAGTGCTCTAGCTTCCTTTGGGCCCTCGGCTAAAGGGAAGAGCTCTCCTGTTTCTTAGCTGTCTCCTTGCAAACCCTCAAATAAGCACTGTGAATAGTTCTCTGGCAGGCGTGAGGTGGTGGTTGCCAGGAGTTTCAGCGACATCAGGCTTGGTCAGGATAATAGGAGAGACATAAGGGACCCTGTCTGAAAGCAGACCTTCTCCAAACTTGTCACAGTTCTTCTAATGAGAACCTTTTATTCTCCAATCTCCTTAGGGCAGGGGCAACACTAGCAGTTCAGCTAACCTGTAACCCTGTGACCCTCCTTCCATTCTGCTTTCCGAGGGAAGAAAGCCAGGGGTCGGGATGACCTTGGGGTTTCATAAGAAGTTGGAGGGAGACTCCTGGGGTCTCCCGTCTTTCCTGGCCTCACTAGCTCAGAACTCGAGTTGACTCGGCTCCTTCAAGAGTTGATTTCCTCTTGACCACAAGAGGAGACTAGCTCCTGGGTGCCCCGGCGGTGGAAGCTCCAGGGCAGGTGGCCAGCCTCCCAGTCCTTTCTCTGTGTCTCACACGCACCGCGATCCAACCCGTGGCCTGGCCCCTCTCTCCTTGTAGTGCCAAAATAAAAAACATCATCTCCACGGAGGACGCCAAGGCCCGCCTGCTGGCCGAGCAGCAGAACAAGAAGAAGGACAGCGAGACGTCCTTTGTGCCCACCAACATGGCTGTGAACTACGTGCAGCACAACCGGTGTAAGTGAGCCTCCCAGGGGGGCAGCCCGCCTCGTCCACCGGCAGGAAGCCGGTGTGGCCTGACGCGTCCTCTGGTCTCTCTTGGTCCAGTTTATCACGAGGAGCTCAACACCCCCATCCGGAGGAACAAAGAAGAGCCCAAAGCCCGGCCCCTGAGAGTGGGCGACACAGAGAAGCCGGAACCTGAGCGTGAGTAGGGGGCGGGGGCGGGGGTGGGGGTGGCAGCAAGGCTTTGCCGTGGCTTCCGGGATCAGTCTGTGCTCTGAACCACAACCCGAGGCCTTTGCCTCTCCAAGCCTCCGTTTCTTCATCTGTAAATCAGAGACAATGAGAGAACCTCCGGGGATTTAGTGCACTCTTAAAATAGAGTTGTGATGCCCAAAAAGTCAACAAGCAACAAGGAGTTGAAGTCAGCTGGCTAATGAATCCGCAGAATGGGCGCGCATGAGGGGCTTCGCAGAGTTTGGGTCAAAGATGCGTTATCTTTTCATTCCGTTTTCACGAAGGTCTCCCGTGCGCATGCGCATGCAGCGGAAGATTGTGTTCAACCTTAAAAGGGCAGGAGGTTCTCAGGTTCATCTCAAGGCGCGTCACTCTCGTACATCTTGCGAAAGTGGTGACGCTTGAAAGCATCGTGCTGGTGGGCCGTGCCTGCTCAGTGGGCACAGTGTCCGTGTGGGATGATGGACAGGTTTGGGCATTGGCCAGTGATGGTCGTTGGACAACATGGTAAATACATGTAATGCTACTGAATGGTGGGACCCTTCAAACTGCTGAAAGCGGCAAACTTTAGGTTCTGCTTAAAACTTGCAACAATCGACTCTCCTCAAAGGAGACAGGGAATATATATGCATACATAAAATTCCACATCATTTTGCCACTCAAAGATAACCACTAATAACATTTTTGTGTATAGGCTTTCAGGCATTTAAAAAAATCTGTATACGAATGGGCTTGACAAAGTTTGTCCGAAAATTTCGTTATCTTTTAAGTCTATTTTCCCAGAACTTTTTGAAGTCTCCTCGTATGTGTTCAAACAAACGAAAAGCCGTGCATCGAGTTGGTTCTGACTGATAGTGACCCTTACAGGATAGGGTAGAGCTACTCCTTTTGGGCTTCCAAGACAGCCAGTTTGGGGCGGATATATGGAAGCAGCCAGCCTCGTCTTGCCCCTGGAGCAGCCTGTCGTGTGGATTGCTGAGCCTTGCTGATGGAGCTCCAGGGCTCCAGCGGCCATCGGGTCAGTTGTGACTCACGGTGATTGTAGGACAGAACAGAGCTGCCCTTCTGGGTGTCTGAGGCGCTAAATCTTTTTTTTTTTTAAACCGTTTCATTGGCACATATAGCATATACTTTAACGGTTAGATTGCTCAATCATATCAAGGAGCATTGTACAACCATTACCATGTCCATTTTAGAACACACCCCCATGGTTCAATCACCTTTAAAATGAGTTTGCAATTACAGCCAGTTCTAGTGCTCCCTCCTCATTCCCATCTTCATTTCCCACTCCCGAAATCCCCCTTCCCTCCCTGTCACCCTCTCCCCACCCCTACATCCCCTATCAACCCCTCTATCAGTTATTCTCACGGTGCATCCACTCCTGTGGGTCACGCACCGGGAGACCCAACAGAAACAACAAAAACCAAGTTCAAAATAAGGTGGAACAGATAAAACAATAATAATATAAAGACCAAAATATTCAGTAATGAATAAGAAAAGACCTTCATCAACATTCCAAAGGCCAGGAAAGAAATTTGTCATGAAACAAGTAAGAGATACTTGCACACAGAACCAATTCAAGTCATATCTATAGGGAGGTGTGTTAGTCTGGGTAGACTACAGAAACAAATCCAGAGACATCCTTATGTGTATAAGAGATGTATACACAAGAGCAATTGAATATTGAGAAAGCATCCTAGCTCAGTCCAGGTCAAGTCCGTAAGTCTGATATTAGCCCATATGTCCGATACCAATCTATAAATCATCTTCAGACTCAACGCAGCACATGCAATGACGCCGAATGCATGAAGATCACAGGCCAGTGGGTGGAAAGTCTTGTGGGTCCAGTGGCGGTGGAAGCATCTCAGCGCTGGCAGGGCCCTTCAACTCCAGGGCTCTAGCATAGCTCCATGTGTCTTGTCCGCAGGAATGTCTCGCAGGGAGTATCTGTGTGTCCCACCTCCAGTGAGCTATTTATCTCCTTAGAGCCTCCAAATGAGGCCATCAAGCTGCAACCTGATTGACAAGCTAGACTCCACCACTCCACTCTTAAGTCTCAAATTGACAACAGATGATGTAACTACCACAGGAGGTCAACTGGCCAAGTATCAAGTTTGATCCAGCATATTCAAGATTACAATGGTTTCAGACTGACAGCAAGGTTGTTTAAGACTTGCCTGTGGCTTGAGCAGCTCTGCCAGCAGCCCCGTCTGACCAGATACTCTGCAGATGGGTTTGGAACTCCCACTGTCCTCCATAGCCTTCTACAAATTGGGTGTTCACAGTTTAGGTCTGATACTTTTCCCTTCGCCATATTCGAGTTTTTCAATTGTCATATTGGCTCACACACAAGCTCGTGTGCTTTTTTTTGTGTGGACTTAGTTGACCCTTGCTTAGATGGCTGCTTGTTTGAATACAAGCCTTTAAGACTGTAGACACGATGCTGTTTGATAGCTGGGCACCGTCTACTTTCTTCACCACACTTTGCTGTAGCACCCTTATCTTCAGTGATCTTTTCATGAAGGTGAATATCGAGCAGGGCTATGTTATCAGAACCAAGTGTTCTTGAATTGGGGCTAGAGATAAGCAGGAGCCCAGACTCCATCTGTTTTTCCATGAGGTTGGCATGTCTCAGGTTTGATTTGGCGGTCGTAATGTGACAAAATCACAGCCCTGTAAGATCCACTGCAGCAACAGCAGCCATAAGCCAGTCAGCAACCAAACAACCAGAACACACACACCTAATAAGAAAAAAGAATGAAAAAACAAAGTTACAAAACGAAGCTGCAAGCAGGAAAGCAGAAACTTAGATAAGCAAAGAAGTGTAGCATTTTCAGCCACTGCCCTGGGGTATATGTCGATTGCACTGCCACCACCATCATCGTCAGTTTTCCCAGTGCCCAGCACTCAACCACTGTCCGTGTGAAGAGTCTGTGCCAGCACAGTTTCACCTTGAGCCACAACCACCCTACACAGTGTGGTCTCATTCAGTTGGGCTCTTGTGAGGCTATACATCTCTCTGGGAACAGGAAGCCTCACCCGTTTCCCATAGAGCAGCTGCTGGTTTCAAACTGCTGACCTTTCAGTTGGCAGCCCAGTGTGTGACTCACACCGAGCGTACTTGCTTAGGAAGATCTCCCGAGTTTTTCCTGGCAGTACACCTTGTAGGAGCCCTGGTGGCATGGGAGTGACACGCTGGGCTGTGGACTACAAGGGTCACGCCTTGGCCACCAACCAAAAGGCCAGCAGTTTGAAACCACCAGGTGCTCCTTGAGAGAAAGGTGGGGCTTTCTGCTCCAGGAAAGAGTCATGGCCCCAGACACCCACAGAGGCAGTCTCACCCTGTCTCACAGGGTCGCTGGGAGTCAGGCTTGGCATCGGCATCAACTTGGCATTGATATAGGCAGTGTAAATGGTTGGGGGCTCGGGTGGGAATCTACCCGGCAGTGCACACACCATTCAACTTTGCCGGTTCATTGTGTTCACACTGACTGCCGGCAGCACATTCTGTTGGGCGAGAGATGGACTGGAGGTTGACCAGCCCCATCTTGTTGGACGTGAAGGTGATCTCCAGGTTTGCCCTATTTCGAAGACCGCTTTCATGGCCATTCTTCAATGGGTGGTGTCCCAAGGCCGCCGTCTGAGATTTCCTCTAGAAATGTGATTGCTCTCCCATCCAAGGCCTGTGACCATTGCGTTTCCCCACAGCACCAGCTGGCGTCAGCTTTTTTTGTCACCATTGGTATAATATTGAACTAAAAAAAAAGCCCAAACTCACTGTCACTGAGTCAGTTCCAACTCATAGCAACCTTGTAGGACAGGGTAGAACTGCCCCTGGGGGGTTCCAAGACTGAAACTCTTCACAGGTTTGGAAAGCCTCATGTCTCTCTTGCAGAACAGTGGCTTTGAACTGCTGACCTTGGGGTTAGCAGCCCAACACATAACTCACTACACCTCTAGGGCCCCTGTTGTAATCCTGAAGGGATGCTACATTTGCTGAGCCTTCCCACAGTCTCCTCTGTTGACGTGCTTCTTATTACCTAGGAATTTTTTTTTTTTTTTTGGTGGGACAGTGGGAATGGTATCTTTTGGTTGTGTGTCTTCTCATCGCAGAATAGTCTCCGATGTAGTGGAGTCTCCAGATGTGGGTCCAACTCTGCAGCTACCTTCACTCTTGACCTTCATCCAGTCCCCTAGCCTCTATGTGAGCAGGGGTGGCAAAGTGCCTCTGGCTGGGTTATCGTGTGTAGCTCTAGGGCTATCACCCCGACAGCCCTGAGTTTGGACTTTGGGGAGGGTTAGTATGAGAATTAAAAGAAATAATGCCTCGCGCACCTAAGGAGCCCTGGTGGCGCTGCGGGCTACACATCGGGCTGCTGACTCCAAGGGCGGCAGTTCAAACCCACCAGCTCTTCTGCGGGAGAAATATGAGGCTATTTGCTCCTGTAAAGACTGGCAGTCTCTTAAGGGTCGGAATCGAACTGGCGACAGCACGTTTGGTTTGGGCTTTGCTTTTATTGCTCGACCAAGTGGCCCTGGTGGCGCACTGGTTAATTACTCAGCTGCGACCTGAGAGGACAGCAGATCAAACCCACCAGGGCTCTGCGGCAGCAAGCTGTGGCAGCAGGCTCCCATAAACATGACAGTCGCAGAGCCCTCCTCGAGCAGCTCTGCTCAGCCCCGGAGGGTTGCTGGGAACCGGAACCCACAGGCTGTGGATCCAGACTTGGGCCAGCACTTGGCTCGAATGTCCGCTCACGGTTTTCATTCGCTCAGTAATAGGTCGGACTGGGCCCCTACTGTCTACCTGTTCATTGGGTTGGGCCCTGGGGCTCCCTGGGGAACTGGGCCGGCTCCGTCCGTGCCTCTGTAGAGCCGAGGTCTAGTAGATGGGTTCCTACGGAGCAAACAGCTTCGCCCGTTCTTTCCCTTCCCAGGGTCTCCTCCTAACCGCAAGCGGCCCCCTAACGAGAAGGCCACCGACGACTACCACTACGAGAAGTTCAAGAAGATGAACAGGCGGTACTGAGGGGAGACGCACGGGATGGGACGTCAACAGAGCCCCCGCCCCCGGGAGGCCTGAAGACGTACTAGTGGACATTCTCCGAGCCGACTCGCATCAGCCCCCTGCCTGCGGGATGTTTTTCAAGCTCTGCATTTGTAACCTTTTGAAGCAAAACGTGCAGTTTTCCTATTTGGGAACAAACGCTTATTCTTGTGAGCACTATTAAATCTCGTTTATAGGTACGTCACATTTCTGCCTGTGCCGGATCCGGAGCGCTCAGCTGTGTTCAGGGTGCATGCATTAAAGCTTGTGAGTTCGGGATTGTGCGAACAGTCGTGTCGCCTCTCTTTAAGTGTCTGGCACTGGGCTCAGTCCACGTTCTCCATTGCGCCTGTGCAGCTGTCAGCAGAAACACCAGGACAGGACCACGGGGCCAAAGGGATGCTCATGGACGCTTGCAAACATACCTGCTCCTTTTCATTGAAAAAAGAATGTTCTGTAACTTTTAGCACTGCTTAACTATTAAATATGAAATGAATCCAACCTTGTTTTCCTTAAAGCACACCAGGTAATCGTTCAGAACCCCGTTCAGAACCCCGGCGTCAGGTAACTCGGAAGCAAAACTGAATCACTGCGGTAGATTTCCTCATAAAATTTAAAAGGCATGACATTCTCCTACCAAGTTACTGTCCACTCGCTGTCACACGTGGCACTGGAGTAATTTGCTTGGTTGGTGAGGCCCTTCACGCTGTCGACTTCAGGACTCCCACTCAGTAACTGGGTGGCACAAAGGATGCAAGGTTAGGGGTGGATTGTGACATCTCCCCCAAAAGAGTGTCAGCGTGGCTAGAGCGAAGTGTCAGTCCTGAGTCCTCCGTTTTCTCTGATAGAATGACCCTGCACTTTGGGGTGGGTTCTCCGTCCTTGCCTCTGCCTGTGATGTCCGTCCCGCTTGGGAGTGGGTTGTCCCTTGTGTTAGCCACTCAAGCTACCACCTTTACCCCACTCACCACGCTCTCTCAAGTCACCACCCCTGCTCGGGTCCCATAAAAGAAGAGCAGACAGGAGGGATGTGAGTACCAGGAGCAAGGCACGTCTTCTGGGTCTGGAACCTCTGAGAACCTAGACCAGTGGTTCTCAACCTTCCTCATGCCGTGACCCTTTAATACATTTTCTCTTGTGGTGGTGATCCCCGCCAACCATAAAATTATTTTCGTTGCTACTTCATTAATTTTGCTACTGTTATGAATCAGGTGACCCCTGTGAAAGGGTCATTTGTCCCCCAAAGGAATCGAGACCACAGGTTGAGAACCGCTGTCCTAGACCAAGGAGAGAGAACTAACCCCGGAGACAGAAGCAGCGGCAGAGAAATGGGGACAGCAGAACCAGGAGATGGTGTGGTGGGCCACCTGGCGCGCCGAGAGCTGAGAGGGCTGAGTGCCAGTGGGCAGGAAGCCTGGCGCCTCCAGGCACTGACTGAAGGAGCTGACAAGCTGGGTAACATGTACCTGAATAGCACAGAGGCAGGCCCGGGACCCAAGAGAGGCGTGCGGAGGGCATGACTGAGAAGAGGCTGCCTGATCAAAGTCTTGAATCCTGAATTGCTACCTGGTCCTTCCCTTATAAGCACCATAATCATGAGCATGGCCTTGGCAGTGAACCAGACCCAGCAGAGCAGCGGAGCTGCTTTGGGAAACGCAGCCCATGTCAGACTCGGCAAGCGTTGGATCGAGGAGTGTGTCTGACTGCTGGCTCATAGGACTGAGCCTTGCTGATTCCCCCTTGGGTGTTGGCCGCCAGCACTTGGCCACTCCTGCCGTCGTTCTTCCCAAGTCAGATGAGGACGAAGCAGGTCAGGTGACTGCGGCCCTGAAGCATAGGGCTTGGGTTTAGAGTGGTGTGGCTCTGGACTCAGACCCGACCGACCGAACCTTGCTCACAGTTCACGCATTCTGCCCTTGGACAAATCCCTTTCCTGCCGAGTCTCTGTTTTCTCATCTGCACAATGAGGTGGTTTGTTCTGTCACTCCACTAAAATGCCAGGTGAGTGGGGGCAGAAACGACATGCCTCATGTTGCTCTTAATCCTCAGGAGCTAGCCCATTGCCTGATGCATAAGCAGGCCTCGGAAATGAATGAGCGCGCGAGCAGCCCTTCCCTCCGGCACTGAGGGCTAGATGGGTGTGCAATGTCTGATCTCACCTTGGCCTTGTGATACTGTGTTAGGCCAGTTGAACTACAGAAATATATCCAGTGATACTCGTCTATGCATAAGAGAGAGCTTTATATCAAGAAGTGGGGGGAGGGAGGAGGAGGAAAAAGAGCTATTACCAAGGGCTCAATAGAAAGTAATTGTCTAGAAGAGAATAGTGGCAACATATGTATAAATATGTGTGATACAATGCATATATGGATTGTAATAAGAGTTGTAAGAGCCCCCAATAAAATGATCTTTAAAAAAAAAGTAATTATGTAATCAAGTGAACATCCCAGCCCAGTTTAGATCAAGTCCATAAATCTGATACTAGTCCATAAATCCCTCTTATGCAGCCACATGCAAGGATGCAGAATGCAGGCAGATCACAGGCCGGTGGGTGCAAAGTCTTGTGGATCCAATGGTGGCCACATCACAGGGCTTGAAGGTCTCAGAGTGGCTTGCCAGCAGGAAAGATAGAGGGGGGGGGTGGGGGGTCATCAAACTGCAACCTGATTGACAGGTTAAATTCCACCCATATCTTCCGACAGGTGCCATGTTGGCACAAAAACACCTAACTACCACAGATGCCTACAAAATGTTTGGGTGGACTTGTAGCCCACCAAAAGGATTAAACAGCTTGCTAATAATACAAACAATACATGGCGCCCTGGGGCTGGGACCCTGCAGAGAAGATTTTTGGAACCCTAAAAAGAGGACTGATTAGTTTTACCGCTCCCCGAGGCTTAAACTCATTTGTCCCAGAAAGGGGGATTCAGTGCCACCAAGAAAGAAATAACTAAGAGCAAAGTCCTTTGTACATGAGGTCCCTGCGCTGAGACCCTCCTAGACCCCAGAGTCAGATCATTGGAGATGGTGCAAAGTGATGAGAAGTGGAAGCAAAAACAGCAGCAGATGCAGGAGACACTACCACGGGCATCCTGGCACACACAGCAAGAGAGCGCCAAACAGCTGAGTGCCTCTGGGCACTTACTGGCAGCATTGAAGAGTTCTGTAATGTTTACCTGAGTACAGCAAGACAGAGGTTGGGCTGGCCAAAGGGAACCGAGGAGCTGAGGGCTAGCTGCCATTACCAAAGAACTGTGTCCTGGGTCATGCCTGATCTTGAATTGTAAGTTGTCACTTCTCTAATAAACTCCAAACCGTTCCATTCCTGAGAACCCGTGAGTGTGGCCTGTGAATTCTGTGTGACCGTTGCAATCGGGATCATCAGAGAAGTCGGCAGTGCTGGGGAGGGTCTGCTCGTGTCAATGAGGGAGAAGGTGACAGAGAAGACCATGTCTGACCTCCACCTTGGAGGAATCAGCCTTGAGCTGCCGATCTGGAGGCTCCGTCCCCCTGTGAGGTTCGACAGGGAGGTCTGGTGCAGCTGCCCCACCAGTTTCACAGTGCCATTTGCTATTTTTAACATGTGAAAAAATTTGAAGCTTACATTTTATCTTCAACAAACGTCTGTCAGGTCCCCGTAATGTGTATGGGTAACCAAAATGAAAACTCGGGGACTCACATGGAAGAACACATCAGCCTGTGTGATCACGAGGTGCCGAAGGGATCAGTTATCAGGCGTCAAAGAACAAAAAAATCATATCATTGTGTGCTCACCTCCATGATATGATCGCTGAAGACAAATGGGTGCATAAGCAAA